TATATTTAATAATATTATTTATTTAATATATTATTACATGTTTTCAAAAATTAAACCACCAAACGCAGTTTCAGTTTTTTTTAAAACTGAAATCAATCTCTAAATAAAACTACCAAACGCATTTTTAGAAATAATTCAAAAATGAAACTAAAAACGTTTTCATTTTCATTTTCGTACAGAAAATAAAAACGTTTTGGAACCAATTCCAAACGCACCCAAAGAATACCTTAAATATTTGTGCATTAAACAAGGCAAGTGTTGTATTTCAAGCAAACACTAATATTAAAGATAGCTTCCTTATTCTTAACTCGAGGCTCCATTATCTATTGAAATGAAATCTACTATGAATCTATAAAAGCATCATGAAATCTCCCTTCTGTGCACAGTAAAAGAATGGTATTATGGTAATAATTATCATGTGAAACTGTACATTGATTTCTGTAAACTCCTGGTAAACATGTAAATTTAGGTGACGTTTATTTCAAGAATTCTGTATAATTTAGGATCATGGTTCGTGATTCTACTACAGTGTTTTTCTCTCACAAAAAATTTGAATTTTAAAAATCAAAATCATTAACTATAATTCTAAATCCATGAATCAAATGTCACCTTAGTATTAGTTAATGTGATTGTTTAAAACCTAAGGATTAATCCCATAAAAAGTACTTGAGGTTTACCCAATCCCATGTTGGTATTTAACTTTTAAAACGTCTCACTGATTGTCCTTAAAATTTTACTTTACTTCTGTTTTAGTCATTTTGTTAGTTATGTGTTAAATATTTAACGAATCTATGTAAATTAAAAACCAAAATTCGAAACATATAAATTTTAAGGATTGAAATAAAACAAAAAACAGTAGTTGATTTACATAGATAATTGCTAAATTTTAACTATTTCTAATTTCAATCCTTAATTTATACAAATTCTATAAAATATTTAATTAATTGACAGAAAAATTAAAACTGAAATAAAATAAAATCTTAAAAATTAATTATAAGTCATTTTAAAAGTCAAAAGAACAAAGTAAAATTCACGATAAACCTCAAAAACTATTAATGATATTAACCCAAAACCTAATAATTTCTTAGTGGAGAATGAGTGGCAAGCCTTTGATATCTTCCTAGGATTCCCAAGCAGCGAAAAGTTGACCGACTGCTCTCTTTTTTTTTTTTTTTTCAAATTTTCCCCTCTACTTTTAGAAAAGAGAATACGATACAAAAAAAAAAAAAAAAAAAAAAAAAAAAAAAAAAAAAAAAAAACTACCAGTACATAATTCAAACCGGTTATAAGTTTTTAAAATTATCACATTTAAAAAAAAAAAAAAAACTGGTTATGTCATTAAATTATTTTCTTTTAATTTAACATGCATGATTATAATGTCAGATAGTATGAGAATTATGCTGAGCACTAGCAAGTAAAAAAGCATGTGTCACTAACCCCAGAATCAAGCATATAGTAACCCATCATTGTTAGAACTAAAGCTATGGTGTATCACTATAACTATATGTTGAATGCTGTCAAACAAATCAGAACAAAAAAAATAAAAAACAAAAAAACAAAAAAAATAAAAACAAAAAACAAAACCATTAAGAAATTAAAAAACTTCCAATATACGAGACAACATTTCAATCACTTCCTAGGATTCCAACAAGACTCCTGTTTTTTCCTCTTTTTTCGGAGTCAAAAACAAAAATACAAACCACATGGGAGAAAAATGAAAAGATGCTGAAATGAGAGAGAAAGAGGAAGACTCTTGGTGCAAAACGTTAAAATAATAGAATATAATAAATATTTCCTTTTGTGCCACCCACGTGGGTTTGCATGTATTTTGTTGTCTTGATGTCATTACCTTGGAGCAACACACAACAAACACATGATACAACGAGAGAGAGGAATAAAAAGAAAATAGAAATTAAAGTAATAGCTCTAAAGGGCAATCTGTGACAAGTTTGAAACTCATCAAGGAGCTTTTTGATAATGATGATTCCAAAGAACATGAAAATCACGGGCCTCTAAAGAGACAAAATTTAATACTTGACAATAAGGAGAGTAAATAATAAATTCAGACTCTTTCTTACAGACAATTTTAATCAAAAACTAAAGAATATGGAACAAGACATGAGAAAATACCTACAAAAGTGACCCTTTCTCTCCCTAGTGTTTGCGTCATTAATATATATAAATATATATATATATATAATCCACACTTCTGAAATGTTACTAACACAAGAATAAATCCAATTAAAGTATTAAGTTTACACTGAAAAAAACTGACCTCGCCAAGCCTAAACTCAAAATCCAGCTATATGAATATTTTTTTTTCTTTTTTTTTTTCAAGTTTTAACTTTTTTTTTTATTTTCTTTTGTTGGCAGTTCATAAGGTAAGAAGACAATATAAGAAACCCACCATTGCATAGAGCTCACCAACAAAAACTGTTAGCCTATCACTTTGAAGCTGTGCTGAATTTTGATGTATTGGAGGGCTTTCTCAGCCATAAATTTCTGCAGCAAAGATGACGAAGCTTTTAAGAACATTATCAATAAATACTACGAGCTCTCATCGACCTGTTTTTGCACGCTTCATTCCACTTGTGTTGAAGGGCGAGACACTGCCGCTCGGCCCAGGACTCTCTTCTCTGAAATTGGAATTCAGCATAGCTAATTCGCGCAACTGCTGCCTCTTGATATAATCCTGTGACTCATCCTGTGTATGGAAGGTTTTACCCAAACAGAAAGAAAACGAATAGCAAAGGTCAAAACTAAGACGATGACACACTTGGTGAATACTAGTATGAGCACATTAAAAAGGTTTTCCCTGCTAGAGTTAACTGAGAACAGACGTCGAGTTTTTCCTTATTTGATCTTTTATGAGATATGTCAACGTGTGTACAAGTAAAAGACGGGAAGGGAAAATAAATAAATAAATAAAAGTAAAAAAAGGCGAGCATCCACCTTCAAACCGCCCTTTTCCTCGTTGCTAGAAAGCATACGATGGTCTACATCTTTAGAATTTACCGAAACAGGATTACTCAGAGTTACAAATCTTAAGCATGACACCTTGCTGACTACTTGCTAAGACGGAAAAAAGATGCCAAAAAACAAAATTGTCTATGAACTCCTACAATTTTCAACGAATATACTCTTAACATAAAAATCATCAGGAATAACAAGGCCATGCAGTTTAAAACTAAAGAGCAAATTGGTGAACTCGCCCTTTAAACGCATTGTTCTAAGATTTTTACCATTTACTCTTGATTAATACTCTTTTAACTAATATAGTTCTTTGATTAAAGGATATTAATCAAGGGTAAGAGGTAAAAATCTAAGACCCCTTCATTCTAAGGGGTATTTTTCTCTTTTTCCCTTAACTAAATGGGTTTGTAGCTTGCTAAAGCCTTAAATGAGCCTATTATGAATGGGCTCCTAAGTTATGGGATTCCTTTTTCTTTTACCTTTTAACTTTTAACTGGGGAGAATGAAGCAAATAGCATATTTATAGTAAATAACTGAGGTAAATAGCAAAGTTTAAAACTATTTTAAGTAAATAGCAATTTACGACTAATAAAAGAATTTTTCCACGTAAATTTTCTTTTTACAACTGGCAAAAGATTTTTTTCTACGTAAACAAAGATTTTTTACCACATAAATTATTTTTTACTAGTAGTAAATGAAGAATTTACACGGTCAATAGTTATTTACTTCAAATAGTTTTAAAATCTGCTATTTACTTAATTTAATTTCATATACATGCCATTTACTACAATTTATGTTTTAACTATTTACCTGCCTGAGGGAACAGATTATTCTCTTACCTAGTCTTTTTAAATACATTTTTTTCCAATATTTTTTGTCGTTTCAAAAGCATGTTTTATTTTATTGACTTTCTATTTCAGTCTTTTGTTATAAACAGATTTCAAGTTGCATCATGATATTGTATATCTACACATAAACAGAGTATTTGAAAAGCAAAAAAGGTTCCAAAACAAAAATGCACAAAAGAGCCATCCGCAATAATCTTCATGAATTCTCTATTAGTGAACCGGAAAAGAAAATAATGAGAAGAAAAGGATTGCAGAAATTACCACCGGTTTGAGCAATTCTTCGATAATCTCCTGAGCCTGTCTGAGCTTCATATCAACTACATTGGCAGGTAAATCAGCCTCAATTAGAATGTGGAGAGGTTCATTCAGATGTTCATAGCCTGGTCTTCCCCGGAGCTTTTCCTCCTTGAGAATGGAAGGAAAAAGAAATGAATTATGTAAAACCAATCTTTTAACGTATGACAAACTAGGTAAAGAGCTCCATTAATCAATGTAATATCATCCAAGTCAGGTGTACCGGCTCATCATCTTTTTCCCATAAGAAACATAAACTGACCCATCATTGAAAAAAGCAACTTTGTTATAGACTAGGGGGGAGGATGTACAGGTCTCTTGTTACCTTGTCTGGATCCTTTATAGATCCCTTCCCTCTGATGTATACACGGCAGCCAGTAGTAGCTTCAACCCTTTTCAGAGAATTACCCCGAGGTCCGAGAAGTCGCCCAACGAAATTGAACTATAAATGGTTCAACAGTTAGCTATAGCATTTCAACATGTAAACACAACCAAACAGATAGGACTTTACGTACTAGCATCTAGTGCAAGGCTTACATTGGGATAGGTATCTACTGGAATTTCCAGGCGTAAAATTCTCTTCATAGTATACGAACTAGGACTTGCAGGAGCACCTTGCCAATCCATTGTCATTCCAGGGGGGCCACTTATTCTCTGCAATGTTTAGGATTTTTAATCATTAGCGGTTATCACTTTGATAGAAACAATAAGTCGATAACAAATAGAGAGAAATGAAGAGAGCGTGCAAATTCTTGCAAAATGAAAGGCGCGGTCACCAACGAAAGTGATGCAAAATAGTTTGCTCCTAAATAATTAACCAACATGAGAAACAAATGTGCAGTCACAAAGTGCAAATTGCAAGGATCACTGTCATTAGTTACCTTTGCAAGTCAGTCTAGAGCTGAAGATACCCTATAATCCTATGGTTGATTCCTATCTTTCATATGAACTATTACAGGCAAAAATGCAAATTCGATGTGTCAACATAACTCATATATTGAGAACAGACACATGCAATTTCTTCTCTTTTTTTTTTTCTTTTCTTTAAAGCCTGACACTTTAACATGCTTAATAAATTGTCATGTAACGAGTAAAGTACTGTTTAAGTTGAACCTTGTTTTTGTTTATTTTTGTTCCATTTTTTGTCACCTGTACAATCCTCACCCAGTTGTAAAACAAATAAAATATATATGGTAGAAACTAGAAAGGGACCATTCTGTGAACAGAGATTGGAAATTAAGTTCGAACATTCATGCGGAATAATCTATATCCTCATCAATTAAGTTAAAGTACTAGTAGTCTAAAAACCCACGGACATTACATGAAATCCTTAAATGTTTAAGGGTGTGTTCATTTCACAACTCCAGTCATAACTCAATGTTTAAGAAATTAGAAACTAAGGTATGAACATAGTAGACGTGCAGAAAGACAATAAAAAATTTTGGGACTCAAAGACAATAAAAAATTTTGGGACTTAAAGAAGTCCTGTTACAAATGAGCTTCATCCATCATAACCCAAATCTAAATTAGCGAACTGGGTTGAGAGGGCAGGAAGAAGGGGAAGTAGGAAATCCAACAACCATACATCACGAGGAAGAGAAATGCCATCGAGACCAATGACAAAACAACTAATTCGTTAGATATGAATGTCACCCCAAAACAAGTACAAAGACATTCGTTTGATATGATGTCACCCCAAAACAAGTACAAAGAGAAAAAATTCAAAACCCTCTAACAACATTGACTAAACTTTTAAGGTCCGTTTGGTTCACGCGTTCAAGTCAGTGATTCCAATTCATTGGCGGAAACTTTGTGAGAGAAAAAATTTTTGAATTCAAATTCTTTGTAAGATGAAAAACACTAGAGCAGAACCAGAATCATGGGTTCAAGTATAGAAACCAAACGGAGCCTTAAAGGAAAAATATATATACCGCAGAATTGCAGTCAGTTTATAAACTAGATGCACATATAGATAAATAGTGACTCTCGGGGTCTGCTCTTCAGTGTTACAAAGAAACGGCGCAGCTTGTTCTCACAAAGGTGCTTGCACCATTATTCAATACATTGGCAGTAGCAGTCATTTAAGGTATTTACTAACAAACAAGCATCATAACTAAAATAAATTTAGTGCACAAACATCATAAGCAAAAGAAACTTAGTTCCCAATCTATAATGCATCTTAAATCACATGCGACATGACTGCAGTTCCTGATTTCATGACGCATAAAATGTTACTGCTATTTTGCCCATAAGCAAGCAATTATGTTTCAATTAAAAATGGAGGTAAGGGAGAAAGTGTGCATCTAGAGAAAGTGTGCATCTAGAGGAACATAAACAAGATGCTAATAGAACATTACAGTTAATTACCTCCTGAGGAAGTCCATTCCATCCACCAAATCCTGTTCCAGAAACATTTGACATGAGGTTTGAAGATGCCATGGGACTAGGGCTTCTATGCCGAAGCCTGTCAAAGTCACCGAAACCTTGGTTGGACATCATCCCAGATACTTTAAATATCTCTGCAACATTCATAAGCATTAGGTATGAGTAACAAAACCACACTTCGGAAAGCAAAGAACGGTGAAGACGGGCACCAAAAATTCTATAAACAAAATACATCATTTACTTAGAAGGTCAGTTAGACATCAACCACAAATAAAGAATAAAGAGAAAAGTTAAACAGCATCAACTTACAAGTTAGAATCCAACTTTTCCAGATAACTAAAAAGATCATTTTTTAATACCTCATGCGAGAACACGTCAACAAAAACAGTTCAAGGTTGCTAAGATATATGTTGAAGGCTCGTCCACGTATTTTATTCCTACAAAGCCAAGTTTTGTAAAGTCTGGGAGAATAATCTAGATATATGGTATATGATGATCAGGAATTTAGACTTGTAATCTCTAATTATTCATATTAATTTCGGATAAGATTTGTTTTGGTTTTTCATCTTTATCTTACCTATTGCCTATTTGTAAGCAGGCTTGATTATTTTAAACACTTAAAAGAGTTATTTACAACATTATTGAAATATGCCATCTATTCATCCTCTGTCTCTCTCACACTCTTTTTCTTCTCTCTTTATCTGCTACTCCTCTGTCTTCCCTTCGTCCTGCCTCATCAAAGCACCAAATTTCTAGTACTTCTGAAAAGGGGAAAAAATGGCAAACTAAAATTCTATGTAGAAGCGTCAAATCTCCAAAGCACTACACACTTCACCATATACCTAAGCATCATACTAATCCATATTTTACACCAGTTTTGTAATAGCAAATTGATAAAAATAAAATAAACATGACAAATGCTCCAATTTTTTTTCCGACTAACTCTTTAACGAGTGGTTAGAAAGCCCCAAGGTCATCTCAAATCACCCCATTACAGACTGCTCCATTAGGTAACTAAGCAACTAAGAGTTCATTCCCTACTGCAACTAAGCATGTATGCAGCTTTTCGATAAAAAGCTTTTTGACAATAGAGAAGTCCTAGTTAACTACTTGATTTATAAAAAATGCACTTAAAGTGAGTAAAATGGTTGAAACATTTCAAACAGCAAGGCAGGCACACTTGATCATGCAGGTTTTACAACTAATCAGCACATTGCATAGACTGTAATCCTGCCTAGTGATCATTATCGAAGTAACTCAAGCATAATCAAAACGCAACTTCCAAATTCCATTTTGAAAAAAGTAACACTAACATCGCTAGCGCTACTGTTGGGAAGGATTTCATCTCTATTAGAAGATGCGCCTATCTAGACACAAGAATTCAAAAGAATCGCGTTTCAAAAGAAAATCTACCTTATCATTCTCTCTCATAGCGTAGACAAGAGATAAGGACTACAGTCAAGAAATTGAAACCTCCTTTGACTATAATCCCTCGTATTTATTTATCACTGTAAAGGGGGTCCTTATTTTCCATTCTATAGACTACGCTCTTCTATTCTGTTGATTTCTCTCTCTCTAATATGCCTTATTATTTCTTCCCTTCACTAACTTGATCGTCGGAGTGCAAACATTTGTCTTGTAGGTCTTTCCCACAATCAACATTGGAAGTGATCGTGGACCTCATACAAATTCAATTATAGATTTCAGCCTCGACAACTTGCTCTCCACTCCTTAGTCCGAGTTAATTCAACTAAAGTTAACATAGCGAAATTCCGCAAAAAAAGAGAAATTTCGATAACGAAAAGCATGGTGATCAGCACAGTAAACCACTCAATTTAGCTACTATTACACAATAGACACAGTGAAAAACCATCAAACGGATCTGGAAACACAAGGGACCACATTTACCATGCCAAAGGAAACAGTTAAGGGGACAAGAAAAAAAGGAAATTTAAGATCAACCCAGAAAATCCTAGATCCAGAAATCAAAACAAGGTCTAACAAGAAAGCACTGAACCTTGATTCAAGAGGCGGTTACATATCGGCAGCACTTGCACAAAGGGTGTAAGCTTCTGATGCTCGGCCAACAGCTCTGACAAGTACTGACTACAGAAAAGGAACAACAAAAAACCATACACAGATAACAAAGTAACAATTTTTCAGATAATCAGATTACCAGAAACTCAAACAAAGATTGTAAATTTTCACCATTTTCTCATCTGGGCAAACCTTAATTTCATCAATAAGTACCTGTCAACATCTGGGTTGCTTCTAATCTGGGGAGAAGCAGCTCTGGCAGGTGAGAAGTTGGGATTATACAAACCTGACATATCTTTTCTTTTTTTTTCCTTTTTTTCTTTTTTTTTCTTTTTTTTTTGTTTTCCTCTTTACCCTTTTCTCAGAGAATTTGAACAAACAAAAGAATGGGATGGGAAAAGGGTTTTAGTTGTTGTTGATGTTGGTGTTGTTATTGCAGAAGAAAAAAGGAGGCACGCAAATACAGCACCATCAATAAAAAGGGAGATTTGTAATAACAAGAAAACAATAAATAAAAATATAAGAAAAAAATTGAAAAAATAAAATAAAAGGTTTACTCCAGTCGACAGCTTTCTCTCTGAGTTTTGCAGAAAGGAAGGCAAAAAGATTTTTAATGATTTTCTTTCTCCTTTCCTCTTTTCTTTTTCCAACTAATACAGGTTTTTTATTTTTTATTTTCTTTTTTGCTATTAAATATTAAATAAAATAAAAAAATGAGTAGAGACTAGAGAGTTGGACTTGTAAAAGACTTGAGAATGGAAGAAACTATTTTTGTAAGTGCAATCTGTTTTGTTTAAGGAGGTAAAGATTTGCAGACAAAAATTTTTTCTTTTTATTTTTTTTTCACAGTGACCGAGGAAGTTTACTACACATAGAAAAGAAAAGGGAAAAAAAAAAAGCTTGTTTCCTTTTTCTGACCTCAAAATCTTATCAAAATTACAATAAAAATAAAAAATAAATAAACAGAATTCTATTAATTGCTTAAAAATCTAATAACTGTTCAAAACAGTATCTTATCAATCTATTTAAATTCTCTCTCTTTGGCAGCCTATGAATTCTCTCTTTAGCAAAAAATAATAAGTTGTTGTTCTTATCAACCTATTAAATTTTTGTTATATGTTTTTTTTTTTTGGTAGATTTTGTAATAATGTTTTTACTGAAGTGAAAATGTGGAAAATGTTGGGTAAGTGGAAATGTAAAAATAGCGGTGAGAGAGGGGGACACGTGTCGGGCATGCAGGGGAATGAAGGTGTTATAAAGAGGAGAGAGAGGGAGAGAGGGAGAGAGAGAGAGAGAGACGCTCTCGTATCAAATGCCCCCAAAACATTGACAATGATGTTTTGCCAACGCACCCTTAGCTGGACTCTTCCCCAAGAGTACCCGATGGTTTGACCAAACTACATAACACGACGTCGTTTTCCCTCAGTCAAGAATTTTCCTCCCTCCTGAGAGATTTCCTTGTTTACTTTTTTTTCCGCCATATTTATGACCTTTTCCATTTTATTTTTGGTTTTTTTTCTTTTTTTTAAAGTTCCTCTGATAAATTAGTTCTACGAACCGTGTCCGTTTATAATTATTAGATTAAATTAAAAAAATATATAAAATATATATTTTTTAATATATTTTTTAAAAT